TCTCTCTCTCTTCCCTGCATTGGCGTTTGTTCTGCTAGCTCCTCCCTCCCCCCTCCTCCCTCTCTCCCTTCTTCCTCTCTCTCCTCCGTCTATCGGCTTCTCTATGCCCCTCTTCCTTCCTTCCTCCTCGTCTTTCTCCGTTCGATGGAACGGAACGATGGAATCCAGCTGACGCTCGATTCAACCAAGCTGGACGGTGCGATGCGAATTAGATGAAGGGGTTAGATTCTCTCTTAGGAGAAAATTACATTCTGTAAAATTATAAAATTACATCGACTGACAAAAGGGGGCCTGTATTGAGACTCTGCCGATTTTGTATTTTTTATTCTCTTTCTTTTTCTTGTCACATCGAATCTAACCTCACCTCACACCGAATCTAACCTAACCTCACACCGAATCTAACCTAACCTCACACCGAACCTAACCTCACACCGAACCTTACCTCACACCGAATCTAACCTAACCTCACACCGAATCTAACCTCTTGATCGATTGAAGTCGCGGACTATTTATGTTGTATTATATTAAAGTAATAGAATTGACTATTGATTAATTAATGCTGTTAAGTAATAGGTTACAGCCCCCTCCCTTCTACGCCGTTCGCCACCCCCCCCCCCCTTTTCTTCCCCCTTTCCCCCATCCACTCCCCCCCCTTCCATCCCTCCGACTCCCGGAGGGCTCTTTCTTCAACTGGAGTTAGATTGCGTTCGGCCATATGGAACGCGGACGATCGAGGGAAAATCATGCACGGAGGGAGTTCTTCCCCTCCTCACTTCCTCACCCCGCCCCCCTTTACCCCCCCCTTCCTCCCCCCTTCCTCCCCTTCCCCCCTGCCATCTGACACGCGGACGCTGCTGAAGCGATCTCTGTGCAAAATGATTACTAACACGAGGACCGATGATAGAATCAGGTAGAGGCATACTCGTGTGACATGCCAGTGAGGCATTTGCTGCTGATGAGTTGGTGACAGTCCGCCGATGAGACAGTCTGGTAGAGGCATACGCGTGTGACATGCCAGTGAGGCATTTGCTGCTGATGAGTTGGTGACAGTCCGCCGATGAGAAAGTCTGGTAGAGGCATACTCGTGTGACATGCCAGTGAGGCATTTGCTGCTGATGAGTTGGTGACAGTCGCCGATGAGGCAGTCTGTCGGAGCCGCAGGCGTTTTTTTGTTTCGGTCTTTTTTTTGTTTTTTAAATAATGCACCTAGACGTGTATACATCATATATGCGTACACCATACATGTAAGTACATGTATATTATGGGTAAATAATAAATACGTATGCAAATATATATATACTAATTTATTAGAGAAAAGAAGTAATTGAAAGATGGGCGCCATCCTTATGTCCTCTGTCCTGTGTACTTCTTTTTTTTTCTTTTTCTTTTTTCTTGTTGGTTATTTGTCAGTCCGTGTATGCGCTGTTTTCACAGCATTTGTGTTGAAGACGACGCATATGCGCTCTTAGGGTTACTCAGCATAAGCCATTTTGCACTTCTCTGTGGACGTAATTGCGGTCAGGTGCATTCAGACCGGGTCAGAATAGCGGCCATACACATCCCGGACAGTCATGGTGCGAGTATATGCCCTCCTTAGTCAAACTTTTTTTCCCCCCCTTTTTTTTTCCCTTTTTTCCCCTTTTTCCCCCCCTTTTTTTTCCCTTTTTTTTCCCCTTTTTTTCCCTTTTTTTTCCCCTTTTCTTTCCTTTTTTTTTTCCCTTTTCCTTTCGCCTCCCCGAGTTTTTCTTCCGCTTTTTTTTTGCGTTTTTTTTTTTTTCCCCTTCGTTTTCTTTTTTTGAAAGGCCGGCAGTCTTGAGATGTATGTGTAAGTGACCAGTGCACCAAGTCGCCCCATGGATTCATTTGCGTAAATAGTTGGCTTTTTTTTTTTTTTTTTACTTTTGATTTTTGTGATTTTCGTTCGGTTGTTGAGATGTATGTGTAAGTGACCAGTGCTCCTAGTCGGCCCATGGATTCATTTGCGTAAATAGTTGCCTTTTGTATTATATATCGTCAAATAGAACTGTCCGGTAAACCGTAGGCAGAGAGGGAGAAGAGGACAACAAACGAGGGGCTGTGATATATTTTTTTAACTTTTGATTTTGTGATTTTCCTTCGATTGTTGTTGGCGTCCATAGTAATAATTTGTTTGCTACCCATACTCACCCGAAAACAACGTTTTTTTTTTGTTGTGCGGTCAATATAGTTGTACTTGGTGAATCTTTCAGTCTAGATACAGGAATGATATTGACCGCACGTTGCTATTCCTTGACGTTTTCAATTGGAGCGGGTGCGGCGACGTGGGTGAGATTATTTTTCTTCCCCCCCTTCCCCTCCCCTCCCCCCCCGCCCCCCCCACGCCCCCACCCCGAAGAGATGAATGGATGATAATTCGTCTTTTTTTTTCTCATTTATGTGTTTATTCTCTTTCGGTGCATCTATTTCACAGGGTGCTGTCGCGTTTTCGCTCACAAGATACCCTAGAAAATAGGGCCTCGCCCCACGGCGCACGAAACGAAAACGAAACGAGTGCATCTGCCCACGGAAGGTGGCAATATACACTCGTTACTATTAATAGCAAAAGGATGAACCTGGCCATTACTCGTTTCGTTTCTCGTTCCCTGTGCCGTGCGGCGACGCTCATAGTCTGCCACTTTGATCTAAACGAACTTCTGCACGAGCGATCTTTCAAATTCCCTGTAAGATCTGTAGACTACACACTTCTTCCACCAAATACAACGGACGGTCATTATGCCTGTATTTAGACTCAAAGATACACTAAATACAGCTATAATGACCTTACGTTGTATTCGGGGGAAGAAGCCATGCCATAGAGCCAGTCAGATTTTTTCGGCGAATTGCAGTTCTGCTTCGTGCGGAAGTCGCAAATTTCACAACCCTGCCTGGTGTCATATTTAGCACCCGTCCAAAAAAAAAAAAAAAAAAAAAAAAAAAAAAAAAAAAAACGCGTGTATGGTTTTGACGTGGTATAAGTAGCGCTCACGGTAGCTTTCACGTAGCGACTAAGCTGCACAGTCTGCACGGTAGGGCTGTCTTCTGTTTCTACTAGATAGTGATCTTCAATTACGGGTAACGACCGCCAGCAATCAAGATCTCTCTCTTTCTCTTTCTCTCTCTCTCTCCCCCTCTCCCTCTGTGTGTGTGTGTGTGTGTGTGTGTGTGTGTGTGTGTTTCTGCTATACAGTGATCTGCGATTACTGCTCACAAGGCAGCAACCAAGACATCTCTCTCTCTCTCTCTCCCCCTCTCTCTCTCTCTCATATCTCTGCCGGGACACCTGTATGAAGGCACGCCTTTGGGGGAGGTACAACAAAGATGATGATGTACAGAGGGGGAAGATGTTAGTCTTCCAGCAAGCAGGCTGAAAATATGTGTAGGGTGTCTGTTTATGGCCTGGCAAATAGAGAGGAGAGATCACAAGGAATTTCAGCGAGGCAAAGAGAGGAGAGAGATGTTGGGATGTCTGTTGACGTAGCGGTTTGTTTTTGAGGGAAATTGGTTCAGGGGTGTAGGGAAATTGATTCAGTTGGTCCACTCGTGCACTGTTGGGATAGTTCGAATTTCAATGGAACCAGATGAGCGAAACGTAAGTCCTAAGAAAAAAAAAGAAAAAAAACTTGGCTCAGTAGTTAAACAAATTTCGGAGTAGTGCAGCAAACAAGAGCCTTTTCAGTGAAATTGATAATTCATGTCTGTGAAAGCCGGTTCCCTTCAAAAAAAAAAAAAAAAAAAGAAAGGATCGGCTTTCAAGGATATGAACTATCAATTTGGTGAGAAAGCTCAAGTGCGCGGGCAAATTATTTCAGTTTTCACGATTAAAAAAAGTCCGAAATATTGGACTAGAACAGTCAATTTTGCTGCACACCTCCCAAATTCGCTTAACTGGTGAGTCATTTTTGCTCATCTGTTTCCATTGAAATTCGAACTTAAAAAAAAATAAATAAAAAAATAAAATAAAATTCGAACTCAGGTCTGTCTGTATGCCAACAGTGCACGAGCGTACCAACTGAATCAGTTTCCCTACACCCCTGAACCAATTTCCCTCAAAAACAAACCGCTACGTCATCAGACATCCCAACATCTCTCTTCTCTCTTTGCCTCGCTGAAATTCCTTGTGATCTCTCCCCTCTATTTGCCAGGCCATAAACAGACACCCTACACACAGTTTCGGCCTGCTTGCTGGAAGACTATCATCTTCCCCCTCTGTACATCATCATCTTTGTTGTACATCCCCCAAAGGCGTGCCTTCATACAGGTGTCACGGCAGAGATATGAGAGAGATGGAGAGAGAGAGAGAGAGAGAGAGAGAGAGAGGTCTTGGTTGCTGCCTTGTGAGCAGTAATTGCAGATCACTGTATGGCAGAAACAAAAGATGGGTCTACTGTGCACAGAGTGTGCTCTGCGTTGTTACGTGGTGCTACAGTGATCGCCATTTATACCCACCCTTGAAAACGATGCATGCAGGTGCCAATATGACTGGGCGAGGTTGTCAAATTTGTCAAATTCACGACTAGCATGAAGTCGATGAAATCGACTGGTGCCATGGAAAATTCGAAAAATCTTACCCCTCGTTTGAAAAATCACACGTGCGGATGGAGTGCCAAAGGGCGGTTGCCACACAGTTCACCAAACGAAAAACGAAACACGAAACGAGTGCATCTTGGCACAGAAAATGGCCAGGTTC